CAAGCCATAGAGGCACATTCAATTGCAAGGGCACACTCAGTCACATGTCCACTTACATTCCCATTGTTCTGGTCTCACACACACACTCTCAGACACTCACACCAGTAGCTACACCTACACACTGACCATCCAGACACACAGAGTTACCTATACCACACTCAAGCACCCATGAGGTAACACTCAAGCAGTGAAATCTTTCATCCTGTCCTTTTCATTTTTTTTTTTTTTTTTTTTTTTATCCTCACCCGAGGACATTTTTCCATTTTTTGCTCAGGTAGAGTGGGAGGGAGAGAGAGGAACAGAGAGAGAGAGAGAAACATCGATGTGAAAGGGACACATCGAGTGGCTGCCACCCGCACAACCGACCAGGGCCGGGGACAAACTGCAACCGAGGTACGTGCCCTTAGCGGGAACCGAACCCGGGTCTCTCAGGACCGCAGGCTGACGCTCTAACCGCTGAGCCAAACCGGCCAGGGCCATCCTGTCCTTTTCAGATCTGTGCCTCTATCTTCCTCCCCAAGGACCTTGCTTCCCATAGGTTCCAAGTTGTCTATGGAGACACTTTCCCCTGTGCAAAAGGGAGTGCAAGGCAGGACGGCCCTTGAACCTCCTAAAGCATATCAAAAGCTGAAGCCAAAGATGGAGAAATGGTGTGTGTTGCTGACCTTGTCCTGTCCTTGCACTGTCTAACTGTGATCCCTGCTGCTGTCACTGAAGCCTGTCCCAGCCCTCATACCCTGCAGAGTCAGCTGGAAGTACCTCAGAGTGGAATAGGCAGTTGGAGCAGAAATGATTGTATTTGGCTGCTATTCACCACCCATGGCCCCTAGAAGATACAGGTCCGGAGCCAGCCAAGCTTCTGGACTAGTTTCTGGGCATTTCTAGAGGATCAAAAAGCTGCCAGGTTGACAGAGGCGTCTGAGAACTGAGGAGAGGAAGGAGAGGGAATAATGTGAGGAAGGCAGCAGTCCTGGAAGCTCAACTGCTCTTAGATTCACCCACTTGCCCAAGTCTTTCACTTTCAGACAATATATCCTCCACTAAGGCTCTCAGCTTTTTAGGATACCTGCCATCAAGACCCCTCCATACCTTCGGGGTGATATTTCACAGAGCATGTGTCCCCTTGAAAGCCTATGCAGGTCTAAGGTGGGGGAAAACTTCAATGGCCCTGTTTTCCCAACCCCAAATCCTGGCTCAGGGCCCTTGGCTAACCTTGCAGTGGAAGGATCCACACATTGGTGGTGACAGTGTGGGTATTGTTGATATCTCTGGCCATGGTGGCAAGATTGGTGGCTGCAGTGGTGGCAGTTAGGCTTTGGGGTTTCTGCCGGTACCTTCTGCGGCTACACTTGAACATCTTGGGAAACCTGGGCCTCGGCCAGCCCATACCTGGCCTGCTGTAGGGAGAACGTAAACCCCGGGGCCGAGGGGCACGGACAAGCTGAGAAGGCCCCATGGGCACAGAGAGCTTCTGTAGTGAGCCTGAAGGTGCTGCTGGCCAGGGCAGCTGAGGTCTTTGTGACATACAGAGTCTGTATATGGGCGGGGCTCTTTATTACAGATCCTGGTCCCTGGCCCCTCCCATAGGTCAGGTTCTCTCACAGTTCTCTCCGTGGATCAGTCCAGCCAGAAAACTTTAGCTTAGCCCCTTGGGGAAAAGGAACTCTGAGGAGGAGAAAATCACTCCTTTACTTTCTCACTCATCCACATTAACAATATTAATAACTTTTACTGAGCACTTACTATATGAAAAATATGGTATCACGTACCTTAAAAACATTATCTCATTTAATACCACAACAACCTTACAAGGAGATTGTATAATTATTTCTAGTTCATATACAGTTGACTCTTGTTATTGATGGTACTTATGTTCTAATAAAGTCACCACTATGAAGACTGAATTAGCAAACATTGAGCCAGTGCTCCTAGGAGAAATTCAGGGTTAGATTCATACCAGGTCATGATATTTTCATCAATTGATCAGTATATCACCTACTTTTATGTGTTTTTCTGTTTAAAGACACCTAATTTAAAAATTAATGTTGACTTATTAACATTGAACTCACAGCCAATAGCACTATAACTTATACCTGAATGAAGTTCATGTAGCACACGTATTTCCTCTGTAAGGAACATCACAACCTTGTTGTGCTTATCATTAGACAGCACTTCAGTGTTACGTTGGGGGTCTTTTAAACAGCAAAATCACCAATAAAAAGCCCCCAAATGAGAAAAATGTGACACTAACTAGACCACAAAAAGAACACTTGCTTATGTTATAATAGCTGAAATGAGAAGGCAGGGTATTCTCTTGTACAGCCTCAGATGAAAAAATGAGAGTTGGGCAACTCAAATTTTTTGCAGCTCTGTGCGTGTCCATGGATAACCGCAAAAGTGCTGTGAATATTGGTTTGGGGTTACAAATAAATTTTAATGAGTAGGTAAATTCACAAATATGTAATCTGTGAATGATAAGGATCAATCCTATAAGGAAATTGAGGTTCAGGTGAAGTCGCACAATCAGAGGCAGGCAGGGGTTCAAATCCATCATGGCCAAGGGCCAAAGCCCAGAAATTTAATTCTCGCTATTCTGCATTCATTCATTCAGGAAATGTTCACTAACAACTTCATATGTGCAGGACAATGGGGAAATAGATTAATGTGACCTGATTCCAATTCTTCCTGAGACAAAAGAGAAAGCCATGTGAACAATCAGTGCAGGTGAAGAAACAGCTACGTCCCCAGGGATGTAAGATGTTCCAACCCTGGGTTTATCTCCATTCTTGTAGGAGACAGGAACGTCCATAGCTCTGCCAGGCCTTGCACTGAGTTCTTTTAGAACTTTGGGCTTGCCCCATCTCCCTCTACATCTCAGCCCTCTCTTCCTTTCCCTCTTATTCCACCTGTAGGACTCCCCCCTCCCCCCCGCCCCAGCCTTCACCTTGTCTCTTTTCCCTCAGGAGCCAGCTGGGAGGCTGAGAGGCCCTCCACACCACACTCAAAGTCCCCACACCTTCTGCCCTTCCAGCTTCCACTCTTGCCATCCTCAGTTGTAGAAAATGACCCTGCCCCCCATCAACTTTTAGCCACTATACCTATAAACCCATGTGCCCTGGGCCACCTTCTTACTTAAGTCCCAGATCAAGGCCTCTTTCCCTGTTCTTTTTGGAAGCCAGCCCCTCCTGCCTTTTAAGAGATTCCATCAATATAGACAGTCTGGTGGTTAAGATGTAGATTCTGGCAGCAGACTGACTGGGCTAAATCCTGGCTCTGCCACTTATAAGCTGTGTGATCATAGCAAGAACTTAACCTTTCTGTGCGTCTGTTTCCCCATATTTAAGAGAGAGATAAGGGACTCTATCTCATAGGATTGTTGTGAAAGGGAAAAAAGTCTTACTATATATATAATGCATTTAAAACATGATCTGTGCCCTGGCCGGTTTGGCTCAGCGGTTAGAGTGTCGGCCTGCGGTCCAGAGAGACCTGGGTTTGGTTCCCACTAGGGGCACATACCAAAAAACAACAACAACAACCCTATAACAATTCTTTTAACAAACTAGGACTCAGAGGCTTAAAACCAAGTCAGAGAAATGCCCCCTAGGGTCACATAGCTAATAAGCAACACAACCAGGATTTGAGCACCTGGTCTGAGTGACTCAAAAGCCAGAACTATCCCAGCACCTCACCATCAGGAATGTTAAAATGGGAAGTGGGATGGCAGCCTCACAGGATTAATGAAGGTGGTGGACATTACAGAGCTTTACAACTGGGCAGTGACATTTTTGTGGGACCATGGTGTCACCTGCTGGCAGAAAGAAAAGGATATGCACAGAAAGCTAAGAGAAGATGGGAAGTAGGGGGAGAGAGAAGAGTGGGGAGGAGAGATGAAGGGAGGAGGAAGATGGGGAATTTGAGGTTTTGTGAAGGGAAAAGGACTAGGAGTTGTTTGCTACTCACAGGAAAGAGCAGAAGCTGCCAAACATTGGTCACTTCCTTGAAAGTGTGTGTGTGTGTGTGTGTGTGTGTGTGTGTGTGTGTGTGTGGCCCTGGCCGGTTTGGCTCAGCAGTAGACCATTGGCCTAAGGACCAAAGAGTCCAGGGTTCAATTCTTGTCAAGGGCACATACCTCAGTTTTGGTTCTGTCCCTGGCCCCGGTTGGGGTCTTGTGGGGTCTTTTGGGGTCGTGCAGGAGGCAACCAGTCGATGTGTCCCTCTCACGTCCATGTTTTTCTCTCTGTCTCTCTCCCTCCCTCCCACTCTATCTGAAGATAAATGCAAAAATATCCTCGGGTGAGGATTAAAAAAAAAAGAGCCTTGGCCAGTTTGGCTCAGCGGTTAGAGCGTCAGCCTGTGGTCCTGAGAGATCCGGGTTCAGTTCCTGCTAAGGGCATGTACCTCAGTTGCAGTTTGTCCCCGGCCCTGGTTGGGTCATGTGGGTGGCAACCACTCAATGTGTCCCTTTCACATCGATGTTTTTCTCTCTCTCTTTCTCCCCCCCATTCTATCTGAACAAAATATCGAAAAATGTCCTCGGGTAAGGATTAAAAAAAAAAAAAGTGTGTGGTGTGTGTGTGTGTGTGTGTGTGTACGTGTGTGTACTCAGGAGCACCAGTAGGTGTTTGTGTATGTATCTGGTGTGAATATTTAGATGGCAAACGTGTATTCTTGTGAGCACATAGGGTATGTATAAATGTATCTGTAGATATAGAGTAAGATGCATATGTACACTGTTGTGGTGGAGGGCACTCAGAAGTTCTGTGTCCCCATGCCCAGATTTCTCTCCCTTCTCAGATCAGGTCGGGCGTTGCCCAAGCTTGGTGTTGCCAGGTGGAGGCCCACTGTTCCTGTGGCTGTGGGGATGGATTTTCAGGCAGCAGGGGGCAGCAGGGGCAAGAGGAGGCCTCTGGGCTGGGGTGGAGCAGTCAGGCAGGCGGGCAGAAGGAAGCCTTTAAAACACCTGCCCCACCTGCAGGTGACCAGTGGTGTGTGAGAACCAGCTCTCTGTCTCTCTGTCTACCCACTCAGTGGCAGTTTCCTAGAGCTCTCTGTCCCCTCTGGAGCCTCAGAAGATCCTTCTTTCAGAAGTCACTACCAAGAGTCCTGAACAGGTGGGTAATGGCATAGGGTAGAGATTACCTTATGAAGGGAACTCGATCTGAAAGTAGGTTTGGGGAAATGGAAGACCCTGGGGAGGGTCCTGAAGGAGTCTATAGTTGGTTTGGGGAGGGATTAAGGATATATAGGTGCCAGGGAAGGGCATGGAGTGACCTATAGTGTGGAAGTTGGGCTTGGGTGGCAGTGGATGAACCTGTTAGGATCTCAGAGTGTCGAGTGCTGGTAGGGGGTCTGGGCAGTGCAGACAGATAGGAGTGTCAGGATGGGACCTGGGAAACGTCCTGAGGTACCAGAGTCCAGATGCAGGGGAAGTTTGGTGTTAGGGGAAGTTGGATTCAGGATTCTGGAATATGAAATTTCAGGATTCAATGCCAGGGCCAGGGCCAGCCTTGGGGTTGCAGGGGGAGGTCCTAATTCATACATGTTTGCTTCCCAGGAGCCACCATGCAGTGCTACAGCTTCATTAAGACCATGATGATCTTCTTCAATTTTCTCATCTTTGTAAGTGTGGGGGTTGTGGGCTCTTTGGGGCTCCCTATAGGAGTGGGTTACAACTTAAGCAGAGCTCAAGCTCAGGAATAGGAGACTGCTATGCCCAGACTCTCCTGCAAGTTTCCCCTTACGATGAGGTACAGAAGTCTCCCAAATGCCAAGTCCCCTCAGAAGCACCTGGATGACACATAAGTTAGAGTAAAGAAAGGAAGCTTCAGCCCAGATTTAGGGCAGGGTAGGCTAACAAGAACGATTCTCCCCTTTTCATAGGCATTGGGGAAATGGTTTGCCCTAGTCACCTAATGTGGAAGGAAATTCGGTGGCCACTGTAATGATGGGGAGCTGAAAGAAAAGACCCAGAACCTCAAAGGGAAGCAGGGAGGGGAGGTGGGAAGAGATAAACCAAAGCACTTATATACATATATGTGTAACCAATGGACACAGATAATAGTGTGGGGAAGGTAGAAAGGGGGCGGAAGCCGGGAGGAGGGGATCAATAGGGGGCAAAGGGAGGACATCTGTAATACATTCAACAATAAAGATAAGTTAAAAAAAAAAAAAAAGAATTTAATTGAAAACCAAAAAAGAAAAAAGAAAAGACCCAGAGATCACATAGCAGAAGGTCTGCCTCAAGCAGCCCTATTCATTCAACATACATTTATAGCTTAAGTCTCGATGCTTAGTGCTGGGGTGACAGGTAAGCAAGCTCTTTCTCTGCCCTGGAGGATCTCGGGTCCAGAAGGCCAAATAAGCAAACAGCCGCAACATCGTATTTCTGGCATTTGTACAAGGGCTGTGGGAACCCGTAAGAGGAGCTTGAACTCAAGCTGGTCAGAGAAGACTTCCTGGAGGGAATAGCTAACACTGGGGGTGGGGTGCGGTGGGGGGGAGTTTGCCCTGCCTGAGGGAGTTGTAAAGCATGGAAAGGCCCAGAGGCAGTAAAAACCAGGAACAAATTGGGTAGGATATGTTTGAGGAAGTTGAGCAATGAGGTGTAAACCCTGGAGATGGTAATGGAAATGGGGAGAAATCTACAAAGTAGACAACGGTGAAAGCCCTCAGATGGTAGCTGAGGAATGGAAGAAGGAGCAAGGGAGACAGAGGTCTTGGAGATGATGCCCATGTCTCTGGCATGAACAACCCCAGGGGATGTCTCATAGGCAGGTCAGAATAGCAGCTCAGGTGGGAACTGGAAGTCATGTGCCCACAGGTGGTCGTTGAAGCCGTGGGTGAGAGCACTAAGGGAGAGCGAACTCCGAGAAACCCAGTTTATAAGGAGTAAGGGGAGAAATGGCCACCAGGAAGCAGATGGAGAAAGAAAGAGCAATGGGAGGAAAACAAGGACAGTGAGGTAGAGAGGACAAGGAGGATATGGCGTGAGGTAGCTACCAGATTTAGCACAGGATGTCCTCAGAGACCTTGGAGCCACATTAGAGTGGGTTCGAATGAGTAAAAGGTGAGGAGGTGGAGACATGAAGTATAGATGAATTTGGAGAAAATGGTCTGGGGGGAATGAAACACTCTGACTCCAGTGTCTCTGAGTCCTGTGTCTTGGGCTTCCTTTGACTTTTGGGAACTAGCCTTTAGCCATGTATCTAGAAAAGAAACAGGTCCCAGCAATTTGGACTGTAAAGTCTCTGGCTGGAGGGGGTTAAAGGCAAATCCGGTTTGGTTTCTGGCCTCTGTAGCACAGACCTTGCCAGCCTGGGCAGGGCAGGGCAGGCCTTAGACTCCTTGAAATTTGACCCTGGAGGCTGTAAGCCCAGCTTTTTGTCCTTGGGCAAACATGCCTGGAATCCAGCCACAATCTGCCACTTCACTCCTGGTTCTAGCCTCAGTTTCTATAGCTGGAAAGTGGGAACTGGGCCACCAATGCGGTGTCAGAATGATTCATCCACTGAAGCTCTGGATCCGCAAGGCTTTGCTTTAAGAACTTTGGGAACTGGGCAGTGCCCTCCTCCCCAGTCTGTGCCTCAGGATTCCCGCTGAGGTTTGGGGTTGAGCTAGAGAGCTTAGAGCTCTGGCTGAACTTCCCCTTGGTCTCTATAAGGAGAGGTCTAGGGTGGATGAAGGGCAGGCCTGGAGTCTAACCTTGGACAAGAACCAAATGGGGCCTCAGGATAGGTGTCCCTTCTCACCACCTCCCTCTGCAAGGTTGTAAGTAAATGTTACTCAGCCCCGCCTTCGTTACCATGGTTACTATTGAGCCTGCTTAATGCTACCACCCCCATTTCCACCTATCAGAGGATAGAGGTGTTCCAGGCACCTATAGCCTGGGGAGGAAATAGGCTAGGGTAGGTGCTTAGCTATGTGGCAGGATCCTGGCAGCATTGGTGAGAGGAGAAGTCTTGTCCCCAACCCCCTCCAGTGGATATTTTAGGAACCTCTGATCCTATTTATATGTACCTGGGTGTGTAGCCTGGTGCTGACTATGGGTATCCCAGCTCCCATCCTTCTGGCCCTACAGGATGTTTTCCCTCCCTACAGAATGAATTTTTAGACTCCTTAGCCAATATAAGGGGAAGTTTCTCATCTCCCATTATCCTGACTCAACTGTGTGGTAGGAAACTGCTTGCCAGCACTGTTTCAAGGTCTGCCTCTCTGTCCACAGCTCTGTGGTGTGGCCCTATTGGCAGTGGGGATCTGGGTGTCAGTCGATGGACCATCCTTCCTGAAGATCTTCGGGCCAGCATCATCCAGTGCCATGCAGTTTGTCAACGTGGGCTACTTCCTCATCGCAGCTGGGGCTGTGCTCTTTGCTCTTGGTTTCCTGGGCTGCTATGGTGCTCACACGGAGAATAAGTGTGCCCTCATGATGGTGTGTCAAACCCAGCTCCACGGGCCCATAACCAAGGCCCAGGGCCCCCTCACCCTTGACACCAGGTCCTGGTGATCCCCAAACCCTGTTCTAGACTCTAAGGGCCTCAGTAAAGGGGCCCCTCCCTCGTTTTTATAGGGGTGGGTTTTAGCAAGAAAGTCATGAGACTGTCTCTCCCTAAAATGCAAACCTGTTTCCCACTCAGTTCTTCTTCATCCTCCTCATCATCTTCATTGCTGAGGTTGCAGCTGCTGTGGTCGCCTTGGTGTATACTTCAACGGTGAGGATTGAGGACAGGGCAGGGGGGTAAGATTGGGCAAAGCCCTGGAAATGGGCTGTGGCCTGTGAATGGCCACCTTCACTATCAGGCCCTAAACACTGGCCTGCTCCACCTAGGCTAAGAACATCCTGACATTGGTGGTAGTGAACACCATTGAGAATGAATATGGTTCCCAGAAAGATTTCACCCAAGTGTGGGACACCACCATGGAAGCGGTAAGGTGGGCTGGGAGAGGTTTTGGAGTGGGGAGAAAGAAGCAAGGCCCCACTGACTCCCCTCCCCTCCTTGTCTCCAGCTCAAGTGCTGTGGATTCAACAACTACACAGATTTTGAGAACTCTCCATACTTCAGAGACCACAAAGTCTTTCCCCCATACTGTTGCTCTGATGTCAATAGCACAGTCACGGAATCCTGCACCAAGAAGAGGGCCGAGGAGAAAGCTGTAGAGGTGTGGGCTGGCATGGAAGGTTGGGCTGCTTTAATGACCTCAGAGTGCTGAAGGAGGGTGAGAGGCAGGTGCTAAAGTGCTCTTTTCCCTTCTCCAAGGGTTGCTTCAATCAGCTGCTGAGTGACATCCAAACCAATGCAGTCACTGTGGGTGGTGTGGCGGCCGGAATTGGGGGCTTGGAGGTAAGAGGGTGAGAAGGCTGGAGCAGGATATCCCCACTGGACCACAGCTACTTGACCCAGCTCTGAGGCCTCTCTAGAGGAGATGGACTTCTAACAGAGCTTCATGTAGGGGGGTTGAGGGGCAGGAGACTAAAGCTTAAGGACCATGATCATGTCCCCTCATTTCTCCCTATTGCTTTCCCACCAGCTGGCTGCCATGATTGTGTCCATGTATCTGTACTGCAATTTGAAATAAGTCTACTTCTGCCTCCGCCACTGCTGCTGTTACACAAGAACTGGGAAGAAGCACCCTGGCACTGCAGGAGGCTGTGATCAGGGTGGGGACAGGATCTAACAGTGTCATTTGGGCCAGAGTGGGCCCAGCCTTGCTGCTGTGGAGTTGGGGCCACATAGGGACCACCCCTTCAGTCTGGGCCTGACTTTGCCTTCCATTGATGGGGTTGTGGCCCACTGGTTTCAGAGCCAGTTCTAGGGTAGCTGGTTCTCCTGCCCATTCCTCCAGTCTGTCTCTTAAACCCTTGACACCCCTTCAGACCAGCAGGAGCTCTTGGTGACCACAGTATTCCACTGGGGAGTAAGGCACCCTATATCCTGGGTATATGCAAAATCAGCAGTAACTGGGCAGATGTGAAGGCACTTCAGAATTCATAAACCAATTAAAATGTTTCCATTGGGACTCTTTTCATCTGTGTCTTTGGGGAAAGGTACCCATCTTGCCTAAATTGGTTTCACTGGGACTGGAGACTCAGAGGTCCCTGGAAAGGTAGCAGAAGAGAAGTGGGGTGGAGGTGGACGACTATTTCTTCCCTCCATTTGGATTCCAGGCCTAGGAGGGAGTGTAACAGGAATGGCCAAGAGGGCACTGAGGGAGGAGGTAGGGGCTGGGTCAGTCTATCTTCCTATAATAGAGGAGGACTTTAGTCTGAAATTACTCATTCCTGGGTAGGGGCACTGGACCAGAAAGCTATGAAAATAACAAGCTTGTGCCCAGGTGAGGGTGGAGAGACCAGAAATATTGCCAGGGCAATGGGAGAGAGTCACTCCTTAGACTCTGGGAAGCCCTCTGAAAATCCCATTGGAGGCTCCAAGCTGCCTACCCTTGCCACTCAGGCAAAGCCCCACACCTGTCCGATTTGGGAATTTCTGAAAGAACTTATTCTTGATTTTAGCCTGCCAACTACTGTCCAGATCTGATCTCCATTTTGCTTTAACCACCCCCTAGAAACTGGGCCTAGAAAGGCCATGTGACTAGTTCCAGGCCCACACCTTCTGTGAAGAGTTTGGATCTACGCCATCTGACATGGCAACAGATTTACCAGAAGGCCAGAATGCCCCCCATGTAGATCTGATTGCTGCTGAACCAGAAACACTGAGGAGGTTATGGCTGGAGAATACAGTATCTGCTATTAAGCAAAACCTCACCTGGCTAACCAGTCCTCCTTGCTTCCTCTTAATTCTTGGACCCCTCTTCTCTGGTTTTTCTAAAGAAGCCAGGAACTATCAACCCTCGCTGAGCCCAAAAAGAAACAGTGACCTGGCCAGAGCTAGTTTGAGGCCCAAATCAGGGGCCTACTAGGGGGCAGGCAGGGAAAACAATGAGCCCCATTCCCCACTTTACTATACCTTGCACACATAACCCCTCAGAGGTGTGTCAAGTCTTTCTTGATGGTAGGCACTACCAGCAATATCAGGAAGTACTCAGCTTGGGTGGGACAGTCCAGTTTTTAGGGCCTAATAGGGAAGCTTGCATATTTGTTTGCCCAGGGCGGGCCTAACACCTCTTTGTGAGCTAATTGCTCCTCAATCTGGCTGTTATGACACCTCAAGCAATATTTCTAACTCCAGCAAACATTGAAGGCAACAGGTTGGCAAGAACCATCCAAACCACACACCAACCTCCTGCATCGCGGAGCTGAGCTCCAGGCACCAGTTGGGGAGGCAGGGGCAGAGTTGGCGAAAGGGCAGGAGTTTATCAGTTCCTGCCTTCCTGCCCAAGGCTCTAGAGGAGCTCACCAGGCTCACCTCACAAGGGCTCTGCAGGCAGACCTTTTCTCAGAAATGTTCTATACTCTCTTCTGATCCTAGTCCTTCATAGATCCCTTAAATGTCAAACTTCCCCTGCTTTGAACTATCTCATTCATTCTCTATGGACAATCCCATTAATGTTTCTCATGTCTCTGTGACTTAGATCTTAACCTCTCTGAATCAATGACTGGGTAAGAATGTGATAAAAACAATGGCTTGCTTGGCCGATGTGGCTCAGTGGATTGAGCACTGTCCCATGGACTGAGAGTCTCAGTTCAATACCGGTCAGGACACATGCTCTGGTTATGTGCTCGACTCCCAGTAGGGAGTGTGCAGGAGGCAGCCAATGGATGTTTCTCTCTCTAGAAAAAAATCAATAAAAACATATATAGTCCAGCTGGTGTGGCATGCACCTGGAGGTTACCGGTTCGATTCCCAGTCAGGACACATGCCTAGGTTGTGGGCTTGATCCCCATTGGGGGGCATGCAGGAGGAGGCCAATCGATGTTCTCTCTCATCGATGTGTGTCTCTCTCTCTCCCTCTCACTTCCTCTCTCTAAATCAATAAAGGAAAAAAACATATATATATGTGTGTGTGTAAAGGCTTTTCTCCAGAAAAAAATGCCCAGCTATGAAATCTGCATACAGTCCCCTAAGGGCCACAAAAATCCTTGTTTCTATGTCTCCATCTGCAGCCCAATTCTAGCCTCCTGAATGATGCCAATCCAAGTCTTACCCACTTCCTTCCCACCCACACCTCACTATACTCACCTGTGCTCCCATTGCCTTCCCACCCCCAAGCATCTCTTTTTGCTCTTTTGTTCCATCTCTGGGGACAAGTACCTGGCCCTGATAAGATAAGTAGGAAACAGGTTGGTGGTCAAACAGTGGCAAAAAAGGTGTCCGGTGGCTACTCCAAGCTCAGCCCCAACAGATCAGGCTCTAGGGTGGAACCTAAGAAAAACCTTGAAGTCTAAGACTTGGGCATCCCCTGGTGGCTAAATAGCACCAAATGCAAGATAAACTCTGTGGAGGGCAGTAAAGAAAACTCATCATCCATCTAGACCATTTTCTCTCTCTCTCATCACACACACACACACACACACACGCACATGCACACACAATCATAAGACAATTCACCATCCATCTAGACCACTTTCTCTCTCTCATAACACACACACACACACACACACACACACACAATCATAAGACACATCCCTAGAGGTTTTCTCCTTTTTTAATCAATGACCACCTTATCCAGCTTTGGAAACCTGGACAAAGATGAGGCTAAGAGGCCTGGTTCAGTGTGAGGGTCTCAGAGTGTCTGCATCAGTGGGTGGGCCCCTCCTGGGCCTGTCCGGGAGTTGGGCACAGCAATTTCCTGAGTAAGAGCCAGCCCCACCCTCAGGGAAGCACCCCAATACATAAAGGAATCAAGGTCCTTCAGGCTTCACCCTGTTTCCAAGGCCCTCACAACAGTAAATAAATAGGTTAAATTCTGAGCCAGGCCTGGGAGGAGAAATGCAAAGGGCAGGATTAGCTGCCCAGGGAGACCAGGTACTACCCTGCCCTTTCCCAACAAGGAAGTAAATAAATAGACCTCCAACTCAGAAATAGGGGCGATGGAACAGGGGAACCTCCCCTTGAAGTTAGTAATTAAGTCTTATGTTAAAAACAAACCAGCCCAACCCCTGTCAGTGTCTACAAAATCCTACATGGGGTGAAGGGCTAGCCTGCCTGGGGGTACACAGTACCCAGCTCTGCAGGGTCCTGAAGGAAGTCTCATGTCTGTTCTACAGCTCCTGGGGCTCCCTCCTCCTTTGGGGGTGGCTCCAGGAAAATTGGGATGATTGATGGTGGCTTCTTCACCCTGAAAGATAAGAAGAGGTCATTAGGCAAGTCACCTAATCCAGCTAGTTTCCCATTTCCAAGGGCAAAAAAAAGTCACTCACGAGTAGGGGGAGGCTGGGACTCCCACTACTAGGAAGTGGTTCTTCTTCCGAAACAATCTCCACAGGCCCCGGTGGTTGCCACGCACATCCAGATCCCAGATATGGAGGCACTAGTGGGGGCGAAATACAGCAGCCTCTTCAATTGTAAGAGATAGCATCTTTTTCTTTCTTTTTACAAATCTCCCAAATTAATATTTTTCTTAAAGTATTTTTAATAAGAGGTAGCATTTTTTAAATATGAATCTAGACAAGGGGATTGGAAGAGGGGTTTTGAGAGGATAAAGAGAAGGTTCTGAGGTAGAAGATTCTAGAACAAAGGCTGCCAGTATCTTAGGGGAACAGGTATTCCTAGGGTAGGTGTGGTATTGGGGCACCTTGGCAAGCTGGGTCCAGGTGGTGAAGTCATCATCTTTCTCCATTCGGATAAAGGCCACATAGGTATGGCCCTCTGTGTCTGGCAGGAAAGAGTCTTCACAAGGGTTCTTGCTATGGTCCAAAACCTCAGCTTCACTGCAGTGGGGGAGTGGGAGGGAGAGCAAGATAGGGCTCCACTCATGAGTGTATCACACAAATCCCCTTGCTTAGTTGTTGCCGTCATGAAATTCTTAATAAATTTTGAACAAGGAGCCCCACTTTTCATTTTGCAGTGGGCCCCACAAATTATGAGGCCAAGACCTCCAGTATTTGACTCCCTGCCACATAACCCTACTGCCCTAGGCCATACCTGAGCAGCCTGTGAACTTCCACTTCATAAGCTTCCTTCTTCAGACTGAAGCAGAGGGAAATATGGGTCAAGGGAGAGGGTAGCTCCTAAAGTCCCAGGAGCAGGGCTGGGGGTCACATGGGAACTGGGAGAGAGCAGGGCTGGGGTAAACATAAGGCCCCAGGGTTGGAAGGGACTGTCAAATACTAGTCATCAAGGCTCCTAGATATCCTTCCCTTTGCCCTGTCCCCAGCCCCAACCTGTCCACGTTCCTGAGCTGGACACCTGGAACCGTGTTGAACTTGTGCTTCTTGAAGTAGGCCTCCTGCAGTGGGGATGAGGGTCCAAATCAGGGCCTTACAATGTCTGGCCCACACCTGCCCACTGCCCCACCACATATCCCCAGGCCCACAAATGAAGTCCTGGACCTAAAAGGTCCCTCTAATTTCCTTCTGTCTTCCCCAACCCCTTTGCAGTATCCTTGGCAGGCTCTTATTAGCTTTAATTTGGGCTTAAGAATTGGCAGAGAGCTCATGTCCACACCAGCAGCTCATGCCACTGACCCCTGAGTTAGTCCCTGTCCCCAGTGGTTCTCCCTGGGCCTGCTGTTCTTTTTTTTTTATCCTCACCCGAGGACATTTTTCCATTTTTTGTACAGATAGAGTGGGAGGG